CACCATGGAAATTAAGAATTCCGTTTGATTTTATAAAAAGGTAAAAGCATAATTCTTCAATTCTAGATACACAATCAATTTATTAATAGCTTCTTTGAAAGATGGGAAAGGGAATAGGACCACATTAAACCTACGTACTGACTTTAAGATATATCCCATTTCAGACATGCTAACTGAGGAGCTGGGGGGTGTCGTTCGTTAGGCAGGTAAGGCGTGGAGCAGGGCCTGGAAGCGAGAGCAAAGCCCAAACCCAGAAACCCACATACCTGGACCACCTCTTCTGGCTCTGTGGTCCTGTGGTTCCGCTGAGACTCGGCCACCTCCACATACGGGAAGCTCTGGGGAGGCTGCTGAGCTGATGGTCACAGAAGAGGCCTGGAGCTTCTACTCACTTAAGGACTGCCCAGTTAAAATGGAACATCTGTAGGGGATGAAAAAGACTTCAGGTCAGGGAACTATGTCATCTTCCAGCATACAAACCTACACTATACACCATTTCCATTTCGTCAGTAGCACAGACATGCACACACAGATCCAGGGATGTTGAAAGCTCGTTTACAGAAGTGCTGAAAATATTTTCTTTATGGGCTTTTCCGATGGGAGCCTTATTGTTTGTGAACTGTACATATTCAAAGACACCATCTTCCTATGAATTTTTCACTCCAGTTTACTCCCGGGACCAGCTGTCCTCCACACTGAGGGGTTTGACTCCTCGATGAAGCATGTCTCAGGAGAGACTTGTTGCTGGGAGGTGAGGTGACCCTGCACGGAGACAGGTCTGGTTTCATGCTAACACTCCTCGTGGTGCGCCGTCATATTTCACTCTAGTATCCGGGACCCTAGCAAAGTTCTGCCTTTCTTTTTAAGTACGTTATTGAGGCTCTTATTATAAGTAAAAGTGATGGCTTAAGAAGTTTAGCTGTCAAAAACCACAGCAATACAGCCTCCATTTACCGCTACAAAGCATGAGGTCAGAACAGAAAATTAAAACAACCCCACCCCCGTCCTTAGAGGGAGTCAGGAACAGAGGTGACTGACTCTTCTGGTCCCGTAGAGATGTCGTTTGAGCTTTACTGAGTAGTATTTCCATTAACCACGAAAAGCTCGGGAAAACTGGAATAAAGAAGAGAGAAATCAGAGGGAGACCATAAAAGCCCAGTCCATTTCAAGGAGAAAGCAGTAACTATTCCTTTCCCCTACATTTTAAATATCACAACAAATTTAAGTAACAAAATAAACAATTCACTGAGAGCACACTTTTATGTACAACTTTAATTTCTTCCTACTGGGTTCATTACCAAGCTGTTTACTTTCTACAGGCAGGATGGGAGGGGAAAAAAAAAATTTTAAAGGACTCATTTAACACAGAAGTCAATTTCCACTAATGTTGTCTTCATGTAGCATACATGGTCTTTCAAAACAGACCTATATATACATATAGTAGTCTCTTCCTTTATAAGAACAGAAAGAAGTTTTATAAGAACAACAGCAATTAGCCTACCATCACACACATCATTGCTATTCTTACCCTGGAGGAAAAAAACATGAATATGAAAACCATCTTACAATAATAATTGCAGACGGGTTAGTGTTTCTGACAGAACCGATTTTCTCCTCACTTGCCTAAACAACTCTAATTGTGAAAAGAATAACTCTTCTTTAACTATTGGATAACCCAGATTTTTGCTTTCTGAAAAGTTAAGCAAGCAGCATTTTTCATGCATTCTGTCCTAGGAAAGCAGGAGAAAGTGCGTGCCAGTCAGCTGTGGCCATCGAGTTGTGTAACACACAAGAGTTCCCAGGCACTGCGGGCTTTGGAATTTCAGGTGTATCACTGGGGACACGAGAGGGGCACGTGGACCACCAGCCCTTTCTCAGGGTTACCAAGGACTCCACAGGCCCCAAACATCCAGAAGCCACTTCTGTGCGTTTCTCGTGAAAGGGAAGCACATGAGGGCTTTGCGCTGGTGTGTAGGAGGCCAAAGTGGGCAGGAAAGAGAGATGAAAGCAGAAGCAACTGAACAGCCTACAAAATATTCATCACAGAGATTCCACAGAATGCCTCCTTTTTCTCCTGAGCTCTTCAGATCATGCTTATAGGTAAAGATAGGAGGTTTTAATTGGCAAGAATGCATATCTAGTTTGTTAGAGATGGGAGAATAGAAGGGACAGTCTTAAAATTCCTCAAAATCTACTTAAAATTCCCTAAAATTCCTCTCAAAATTTCCTCAAAACTCATTCCATTCAGAAAATTTAGCAGTGGGAGCAGGAGAGGGGACATTTGCATGGCCCACCCTCTCACCCAACATACACGCATCTGCTCACTTAGAGCCCAAAAGCAACGTGATTAAAGTAGCAGGAGAAAGTCATCAAAATCACTGAAAGTAATGCTTAGACAAAATGTACACATATGAGACACAGACGTTAAAGGAAATGCATTAAATAGAATACACATTTTGAGTTCTATCTTTGATAAGTGTGACCCCAAAAGAAAATTTTCTCTACAAAGTTTTCAAATGGTTCTTCAATGTTTCCTCATACCAAAAAGAAAAAAAAAGCTTGGCTATTACAGAATTGGTCTGAGCCAGAATTTACTCCCCAATAATACTTATCACAGATGCAGAGATCTATGAAGTAATATATATAATAATATTTATATATAGTTAGCCCTTTCAAATATATATTTTGGTCCAAAAAGTGCTCAAGAGATATGTTTCAGGCTCAGCTTCATCATTTCTACACATGACTCAGTAATTTTCCCTTGTGTGGCTGTTCAAATGTCACTTGACACCTTAGTCATTTACAGAACATGGTCACCTATATTGTCCCAAAAAATCCTCATGGGCATCCTGTGAAGTAGGTGGGAGAAATATTAATAGCATTCACTGCTTAATAGAGGAATAAAAATTCATAGATGTCAACAAGTCAGAGGTAATGAAAGCAGAACCAGGGGTCAAACTGTCTGACCCTTAGTCTAGCAAACATATGCGAAATTTCAGATAGGTCTGTGTTTCACAAGGTATGGAATATTCCCATTGTGGCTACCAATCCCAGGATTCATTCTAGCAACAGCCTTTTTTTTCTTTTGGTAATGCTCTTTAGTCCATCTTCTAGCTCCCTAAAACAGCATAGCTAATTCTCACCAATCTTTTTCATGAATTCATTGCTGGGGTTAAGGTTCCTTCTTCCAGAAGGTCTCCCCCTAGACAAGGATCAGTGAGCTGGGTTTCCATGGATCAGTCTGAAGAGAAGAGGAACAACTAATACTTGGTGACCCGCTTCTAGCACACCATTGTTCTTAACATTAACAAACATGTCACTACATAGCTAGCTTGCTTTCACTTGACAATCAATCTGCCTTTAGAGCTAGAACCGATAAGAGGCACAGCCTCCCATTCTGTTATAGAGATTCTATAGTCTCCCCCAGCTTACTCCCCTTTATCACCTCTCATTGAAATGATTTCTTCTACAGAAGTGAAATGGTATATTGCATGGAATGACTATAAACTATCTTTTTAATTCTCTTGTTCAATAGTATTTGAGAGGAAGCGAACACGAGTTCTGATGATGACAGGTGGAAGGTGGTAACTGAGTTAGCATCATTGCATGCATTCTAAACCACTTGCAGGAATGGAGCATTTACCTAGCTGCATGAGTCTGAAATGGCCAAATAAACACATTTGTTCTAAGAAGATGACAGCAGTTCTCCACGTTAACAGTGAAAATATTAAGCCCACAGAGGACATTCTAACTGTTCGGACAGAATGGCTTGAGTGCTAGGCCAGCTCATTAAATCCAGCCCAAGTAAAGGAAGAAAAGGTTGATGAGGTCATAGCTCAGGAGCGAGGTCACCAGCCAATCTGACCTCATAGCAACTAAAGAAGTTTGACTGATGAAAAGGTGTCCCCCAGGTAGAGGTCAACATCCCTTTGCCTAAATGAGTCTTTCAGCTCAGGGGGAAATAATGTTGGCTAGAACTCTCTCCTGTGTCCAGGGAAGCGTGTGACTAATAGCACTTTAAAGTCTATTGTGAATGATATAATGATTAACTGACTTTTCGGATCCTAGAAAGGTTAACAGTAGCAGCCCCTATCAGTGCTTCAGAGCTGAAGCGGTAGTGTGTGACACTCAAATTCCACCATGAGCTCAGAGAATGATGAAAGTCAGAAGTGATCCATGGCTGCTTATAAATGAAGTCTGACTCCTAATATTATCAATAACGTGGAGTAGGCAAAATATAATTGTGGGTGGCAAAAAGGATAGTTAGATTCAGTTTTCTAAGGAACCAAGAAAAGCAGTTGGGCTAATGAAAATATTAACTATTAGTTGTCAATTTTGGAAATGAATGCTATTTTTAAGAATGTAGGAGGTTGTCTTATCATAAATATTTCAAAGAGCCAATCAATAATACAGCATACCCCGCTAGTTACCAATGTGAAGAAATTTATTCACTAGTTTTATTTCTGCTGAAATCCATTTTTTAAGGTTTGGGATTGATTATATCAAGATAAGTTGTCTTCTTTTTATCAAAATATTATTTACTACTTAAACACTTCTAAAGCAGTAACATGTTATGACTCCTTCATTTGTTGACTAGAAAAGCCGAATATTTACTGACATTTCTTGAAAACTTGCTATAAGCCCACAGCAAAGAATTTGACATCATCAAACTGTGTTTTCCTTTACTTGACAGGAAGTCGACTTCAAGCAGACTGACTTGAATCAGAACCTCACTGGGGAAGCCTAAGTGTTCAAAAAACTGCATTATTTTTTCATCTGGAAAATACTGAAGAGCAGTGGCTTTTGTCATCCTGGACTTAACTTTCTGAAAGCCTGGCCATCCCATGCGGACTTCTGGTAGAATGAGCAATGCAAAGAGCTGGCTTGGACTTGGCATGTCCTTGTACTTCTGGGGATTGATGGACCTTACCACCCCTGTTCTCTCGGGCAAACCAACACCACCAGGCAAACTAGAAGTGTTCCTGTCAGACAAACCACAGTCACACCCGCGGACAAAGAGGAGCTGGGTTTGGAACCAGTTTTTTGTTCTGGAAGAATACACTGGAACTGACCCTTTGTATGTCGGCAAGGTAAGAACTGCCAAAGAGAATGAAAAATTATCTGAGTACCGGATACTGAAACTGAATAGGAATAAGAACTATGAAAGTTTGCATAGTCTGAGGCCTGAGAACAATTTTAAACTAGAGGTATGTTAATTGACAGCTAGTTGAGATCTAGCTTTTGCTTTGTCAGATACTGGTCAGAAAGGAAAGACTTCTCTCCTTGTCCTTGCCTCTGTTCTGAGTGTGAAAGGCTAGGAATTGGGTTTTTGGAGGAAAAGCCTTGGGTCCTGCAAGAACAGTTCAAGTCCTCACACAGGCGGCAGCAGCCTCAGGAACAACAGGATAAGGAAGAAGTAAACTGAGACATGCAAAGGGAGGAGCTTAGAGGTATTTTTGGTTTTTTTTTTCCCCCAAAACATTTCCACAGGTATTGCCTGAGGCCAAAACTTAATGAAGAAAAAAAAGAATAAAACATTCTTCATTTCAGAAGATCCTAGCTTGTGCTTTAAGATAGCTGGAGACAATCAATGAATATATTTATAAACTTTACACTCGAAATGCCTTGATTCATCTAGCATCATTTCATTTTTAATCGGGGCTTTCTCCTGCGTTTACTTTATTTGCATGTTAATCAGAGGCCATTTTGCAAAAGCAACTAAGTGAGAGAACACGGGAAACAAGGAACTAATTAGAAAATGAATAATTCATTCAAATAACTTAAACACTTGCTTAGTACACAGGCTAAGAGTGCAGGCTGCAGAGTCAAACACACGTGGGTGCAAAACCCGGCTCTGCCAATTGCTTCCAGAGTGACTCTGGGCGGGTCACTAGGTCCTGTTAACCTCTGTTTCCCCAAATGTTGAAGGATAAGAGAATTACAACTTCTCAAGAGTTGTCTACATAAGCTCTTTCCTCAACTTCCACCCACTTCTCAACCAGGGGGGCTTCCCTGGTAGCTCAGTCGGTAAAGAATCTTCCTGGGTTCGATCCCTGGGTCGGGAAGATCCCCTGGAGAAGGGCACGGCAGGCCACTCCACTCTTCTTGCCTGGAGAATCCACGGACAGAGGAGCCTGGCGGGCTACAGTCCACCGGGTCACAAAGAGCCGGACACACCGTAGTGGCTAAACCACCACTGAGCCCAGGCAGCTGCCCTCCGCCCTCCCTCCGCGCGGACGCCATGTTTTGGGGGCTCCTCGGCACCTCCCCACCCCCAGGGCTGGCGGTTCAGTTTATGGAGCCGCCCCATGGGGGCCTTGGACGCCGCTGCCCAGCCCCTCCTTCCTGACTCACGTTCTTGCCTCAGCTTTGCGGCGTTCCCAGCCCCGTTCCTCCTCCCGCCTTCTCGGCCCCTCGCCGGTCCTCCCTGTCCAGCTGGCCCAGCCTGCGGGGTCCTGTCAGCTCTGCCCAGGGCCTCTTCCCTGTCACACGCACCTCCGCGGGGTGTTTTAAACTCTTCCCTGGGGCCTTAAACCCCTAAGCCAAGGAATTCAAAGCCTCCGTCTCTGGCTCAGACCACTCGTCCGAGCTTCGGACTGAAAACCCTCGCGCTCCGCATTTAGGACTCCTGGGCCTCTGTCCGCTGAAGCGTCCGGATCTCCCTCCGGAGCCGAGTCTGCCCTCGGTCACCGCAGGGGCGACCTCGCCACCACCCAGTTCCTAGGCCTGGGCCCTGCTGGTCAGGCGGCGCGTTCCCTCGGCCTCTGCGCCTGCAGATGCCCTTAGTCCGCAGCCAGATAAACCCTCCGCCCTCCCACCCCCGCGCCCACCGTCGTCTCAGCTGCGCAAACACCGGGCCTCCCAACAGCCGCCTTACTTCTGCCCGCACTTCCTTCCGGGCCATTCTCCATCCTTTGAAATGTGAGTCAGACAGTTAGACTCTGCCTGCGAGGCAGGAGACCCAGGTTCGATCCCCGGGTCGGGAAGAGTGCCTGGAGGAGGCATGGCAGCCCACTCCAGGGTTCTGGCCTGGAGAGCCCCACGGACAGAGGAGCCCGAGGGGCACAGTCCACGGGGCCGCAGAGACGGACACAACCGACACAGGCCGCGTCACGCTGGGGACGGCGTCAGGGCCTCCCCGCTGCGCTCTGAGCCACACGGACCCGCCCTCCTCTCGCGATGCCGCTCCTCCCACCGCCTCCCCGCCGGCCCCCGCCACGGGCTCGCTGCCCGCCGGCCCCCGCCACGGGCACGCTCCCCGCCGGCCCCCGCCACGGGCACGCTCCCCGCCGGCCCCCGCCACGGGCACGCTCCCCGCCGGCCCCCGCCACGGGCACGCTCCCCGCCGGCCCCCGCCACGGGCACGCTCCCCGCCGCTCCCCGCCACGGGCTCGCTGCCCACCGGCCCCCACCACGGGCAGCCTCCCTGCCAGCCCCCGCCACGGGCTCGCTGCCCACCAGCCCCCACCACGGGCACGCTCCCCGCCAGCCCCCGCCACGGGCATGCTCCCCGCCGGCCCCCGCCACGGGCACGCTCCCCGCCGGCCCCCGCCACGGGCTCGCTGCCCACCGGCCCCCGCCACGGGCACGCTCCCCGCCGGCCCCCGCCACGGGCACGCTCCCCGCCGGCCCCCGCTACGGGCACGCTCCCCGCCGGCCCCCACCACGAGCATCCTCCCTGCCGACCCCCGCCACGGGCTCGCTGCCCACCGGCCCCCGCCACGGGCACGCTCCCCGCCGGCCCCCGCCACGGGCTCGCTGCCCACCGGCCCCCACCACGGGCAGCCTCCCTGCCAGCCCCCGCCACGGGCTCGCTGCCCACCAGCCCCCACCACGGGCACGCTCCCCGCCAGCCCCCGCCACGGGCATGCTCCCCGCCGGCCCCCGCCACGGGCACGCTCCCCGCCGGCCCCCGCCACGGGCTCGCTGCCCGCCGGCCCCCGCCACGGGCACGCTCCCCGCCGGCCCCCACCACGGACACGCTCCCCGCCGGCCCCCGCTACGGGCACGCTCCCCGCCGGCCCCCACCACGAGCATCCTCCCTGCCGACCCCCGCCACGGGCTCGCTGCCCACCGGCCCCCGCCACGGGCACGCTCCCCGCCGGCCCCCGCCACGGGCACGCTCCCCGCCGGCCCCCGCCACGGGCACGCTCCCCGCCGGCCCCCGCCACGAGCATCCTCCCTGCCAGCCCCGGCTACGGGCAGCCTCCCTGCCAGCCCCCGCCACGGGCACGCTCCCCGCCGGCCCCCGCCACGGGCACGCTCCCCGCCGGCCCCCGCCACGGGCTCGCTGCCCACCGGCCCCCGCCACGGGCACGCTCCCCGCCGGCCCCCACCACGGGCACGCTCCCCGCCGGCCCCCGCTACGGGCACGCTCCCCGCCGGCCCCCGCCACGGGCTCGCTGCCCACCGGCCCCCGCCACGGGCACGCTCCCCGCCGGCCCCCGCCACGAGCATCCTCCCTGCCAGCCCCCGCTACGGGCACGCTCCCCGCCGGCCCCCGCCACGGGCACGCTCCCCGCCGGCCCCCACCACGAGCATCCTCCCTGCCAGCCCCCGCTACGGGCACGCTCCCCGCCGGCCCCCGCCACGGGCACGCTCCCCGCCGGCCCCCGCCACGGGCACGCTCCCCGCCGGCCCCCACCACGAGCATCCTCCCTGCCAGCCCCCGCTACGGGCACGCTCCCCGCCGGCCCCCACCACGAGCATCCTCCCTGCCGACCCCCGCCACGGGCTCGCTGCCCACCGGCCCCCGCCACGGGCACGCTCCCCGCCGGCCCCCGCCACGGGCTCGCTGCCCACCGGCCCCCGCCACGGGCTCGCTGCCCGCCGACCCCCGCCACGGGCACGCTCCCCGCCGGCCCCCGCCACGGGCTCGCTGCCCACCGGCCCCCGCTACGGGCACGCTCCCCGCCGGCCCCCGCCACGGGCACGCTCCCCGCCGGCCCCCACACGGGCTCGCTGCCCACCGGCCCCCGCCACGGGCACGCTCCCCGCCGGCCCCCGCCACGGGCACGCTCCCCGCCGGCCCCCACCACGAGCATCCTCCCTGCCAGCCCCCGCCACGGGCACGCTCCCCGCCGGCCCCCACCACGAGCATCCTCCCTGCCGACCCCCGCCACGGGCTCGCTGCCCACCGGCCCCCGCCACGGGCACGCTCCCCGCCGGCCCCCGCCACGGGCTCGCTGCCCACCGGCCCCCGCCACGGGCACGCTCCCCGCCGGCCCCCGCCACGGGCACGCTCCCCGCCGGCCCCCGCCACGGGCACGCTCCCCGCCGGCCCCCGCCACGGGCACGCTCCCCGCCGGCCCCCGCCACGGGCTCGCTGCCCACCGGCCCCCGCCACGGGCACGCTCCCCGCCGGCCCCCGCCACGGGCAGCCTCCCCGCCGGCCCCCGCCACGGGCAGCCTCCCCGCCGGCCCCCGCCACGGGCACGCTCCCCGCCGACCCCCGCCACGGGCTCGCTGCCCGCCGGCCCCCGCCACGGGCACGCTTCCCACCGGCCCACACCACGGGCACGCTCCCCGCCGGCCCCCGCCACGGGCTCGCTGCCCACTGGCCCCCGCCACGGGCACGCTCCCTGCCGACCCCCGCCACGGGCTCGCTGCCCACCGGCCCCCGCCACGGGCACGCTCCCCACCGGCCCACACCACGGGCACGCTCCCCGCCGGCCCCCGCCACGGGCACGCTCCCCGCCGGCCCCCGCCACGGGCACGCTCCCCGCCGGCCCCCGCCACGGGCAGCCTCCCCGCCGGCCCACACCACGGGCATCCTCCCCGCCGGCCCCCGCCACGGGCACGCTCCCCGCCGGCCCCCGCCACGGGCTCGCTGCCCACCGGCCCCCGCCACGGGCACGCTCCCCGCCGATCCCCACCACGGGCACGCTCCCCGCCGGCCCCCGCCACGGGCACGCTCCCCGCCGGCCCCCACCACGAGCATCCTCCCTGCCAGCCCCCGCTACGGGCACGCTCCCCGCCGGCCCCCACCACGAGCATCCTCCCTGCCGACCCCCGCCACGGGCTCGCTGCCCACCGGCCCCCGCCACGGGCACGCTCCCCGCCGGCCCCCGCCACGGGCTCGCTGCCCACC